TCTACTAATCTCACTGCAACTCCCCTCCAAGTCTCCGACCACTACTTTGTATCCTTTTCTCTCTCGCTCTCCTCCAACAATACTCACTCTGCCCCTACTCAGATGGTAATGCGCCGTCGCAACCTTCGCTCTCTCTCTCCCGCTACTCTCTCCTCTTCCATCCTATCATCTCTTCCCTCTGCTCAATCCTTCTCCCTCCAATCTCCTGATTCTGCCTCCTCAACCATCCTCTCCTCCCTTTCTGCATCCTTTGACTCTCTATGTCCCCTATCCTTCCGGCCGGCTCCGTCCTCCCCTCCTGCTCTGTGGCTTGACGACTCATTGCGAGCTCACAGAACAAGTCTCCGGGCAGCAGAGCGGAGATGGAGGAAAACTAGACTCCCTGCGGACCTGGCATCTTTTCACTCCCTCCTCTCTACATTTTCTTCCTCTGTTTCTGCTGCTAAAGCCACTTTCTACCACTCTAAATTCCAAGCATCTGCCTCTAACCCTAGGAAGCTCTTTGCCACCTTCTCCTCCCTGCTGAATTCCCCTCCCCCTCCCCCCCTCCTCCCTCTCTGTGGATGATTTCGTCAACCATTTTGAAAAGAAGGTTGACGACATCCGATCCTCGTTTAAGTCAAATGACACCGCTGGTCCTGCTCACACTGCCCTACACTATGCTTTGACTTCTTTATCCCCTCTCTCTCCAGATGAAATCTTGCGACTTGTGACGGCCGGCCGCCCAACAACCTGCCTGCTTGACCCTATCCCCTCCTCTCTTCTCCAGACCATTTCTGGAGACCTTGTCCCTTACCTCACCTCGCTCATCAACTCATCCTTGACCACTGGCTATGTCCCTTCTGACTTCAAGAGAGCGAGAGTTGCACCCCTTCTCAAAAAACCTACACTCGATCCCTCCGATGTCAACAACTACAGACCAGTATCCCTTCATTCTTTTCTCTCCAAAACTCTTGAGCGTGCCGGCTTTAGCCAGCTCTCTTGCTATCTCTCTCAGAATGACCTGCTTGATCCAAACCAGTCAGGTTTCAAGACTGGTCATTCAACTGAGACTGCTCTTCTCTGTGTCACGGAGGCTCTCCACACTGCTAAAGCTAACTCTCTCTCCTCTGCTCTCGTCCTTCTAGACCTATCTGCTGCCTTTGATACTGTGAACCATCAGATCCTCCTCTCCACCCTCTCCGAGTTGGGCATCTCCGGCGCGGCTCACTCTTGGATTGCGTCCTACCTGACAGGTCGCTCCTACCAGGTGGCGTGGCGAGAATCTGTCTCCGCACCACGTGCTCTCACCACTGGTGTCCCCCAGGGCTCAGTTCTAGGCCCTCTCCTATTCTCGCTAAACACCAAGTCACTTGGCTCTGTCATATCCTCACATGGCCTTTCCTATCATTGCTACGCAGACGACACACAATTAATCTTCTCCTTTCCCCCTTCTGATAACCAGGTGGCGAATCGCATCTCTGCATGTCTGGCAGACATATCAGTGTGGATGACGGATCACCACCTCAAGCTGAACCTCGGCAAGATGGAGCTGCTCTTCCTCCCGGGGAAGGACTGCCCGTTCCATGATCTCGCCATCACGGTTGACAACTCCGTTGTGTCCTCCTCCCAGAGTGCAAAGAGCCTTGGCGTGACCCTGGACAACACCCTGTCGTTCTCCGCTAACATCAAGGCGGTGACCCGATCCTGTAGGTTCATGCTCTACAACATTCGCAGAGTATGACCCTGCCTTACACAGGAAGCGGCACAGGTCCTAATCCAGGCACTTGTCATCTCCCGTCTGGATTACTGCAACTCACTGTTGGCTGGGCTCCCTTCCTGTGCCATTAAACCCCTACAACTCATCCAGAACGCCGCAGCCCGTCTGGTGTTCAACCTTCCCAAGATCTCTCACGTCACCCCGCTCCTCCACACACTCCACTGGCTTCCAGTTGAAGCTCGCATCTGCTACAAGACCATGGTGCTTGCCTACGGCGCAGTGAGGGGAACGGCACCTCCGTACCTTCAGGCTCTAATCAGTCCCTACACCCAAATGAGGGCATTGCGTTCATCCACCTCTGGCCTGCTGGCTCCCCTACCTCTGCGGAAGCACAGTTACCGCTCAGCCCAGTCAAAACTGTTCGCTGCTCTGGCACCCCAATGGTGGAACAAGCTCCCTCATGACGCCAGGACAGCGGAGTCACTCACCACCTTCCAGAGACACTTGAAACCCCACCTCTTTAAGGAATACCTGGGATAGGATAAAGTAATCCTTCTACCCCCCCTTACCCCACCCCAAAACATATATATATATATATATATATATATATATATATATATATATATATATATATATATAAAATAAAAAATAAAATAAAAAAACACTTTTGTAAAGTGGTTGTCCCACTGGCTATCATAAGGTGAATGCACCATTTCGTAAGTCGCTCTGGATAAGAGCGTCTGCTAAATGACGAAAATGTAAATGTAAAATGTGTAAATGGTACAGTGACATGGTTACTTGGATAGTTGAGTCTTTTGTTTAGACATGTAGCAAGCTAGCTAGTTAAACAATTAACCATAATCCCAACCAATACTACTAACAATACAAACTGATTGTCATAGCTAGCCACCATGCATGAATCCGTAGGTAGCTAAAGCTAACCAACTAAGTTCTAAGTTGCAGCAATGTTGAGAGCTCCAGAGTTCCTCTGTGGAGATGGGAGAACCTTCCAGAAGGACAACCATCTCTGCAGCACTCCACCAATCAGGCCTTTATAGTAGAGTGGCCAGATGGCAGCCACTCCTCAGTAAAAAGCACATGACAGCCCGCTTGGAGTTTGCCAAGAGGTACCTAAAGGACTCCCAGACCATGAGAAACAAGATTATCTGGTCTGATGAAACCAAGATTGAACTCTTTGGCCTGAATGCCAAGCGTCACGTCTGGAGGAAACCTGGCACCATCCCTACGGTAAAGCATGGTGGTGGCAGCATCATGCTGTGGGGATGTTTTTCAGCGGCAGAGACTGGGAGACTAGTCAGGATCGAGGGAAAGATTAATGGAGCAAATTACAGAGAGATCCTTGATGAAAAGCTTAGGAACTCAGACTGGGGCAAAGGTTCACCTTCCAACAGGACAACGACCCTAAGCACACAGCCAAGACAATGCAGGAGTTGCTTCGGGACAAGTCTCTGAATGTCCTTGAGTGGCCCAGACAGAGCCTGTACCTGGACCCGATCTAATATCTCTGGAGAGACCTGAAAATAGCTGTGCAGCGACGCTCCTCATCCAACCTTACAGAGCTTGAGAAGATCTGCAGAGAAGAATGGGAGAAATTCCCCAAATACAGGTGTGCCAAGCTTGTAGCGTCCTACCCAAGAAGACTCAATGCTGTAGTCACTGTCAAAGGTGCTTCAACAAAGTACTGAGTAAAGGGTCTGAATACTTAAGTTAATGTGATTGTTCCGTTTTGGATTTTCTTTTTTTTTGTGGCAAAAATGTATAAAAAAACAATAATAAAAAAAACTGTTTTTGCTTTGTCATTATGGGGTGTTGTGTGTAGATTGATGAGGGGGAAAAAACAATTTAATACATTTTAGAATAAGGCTGTAACATAACAAAATGTGGAAAAAGTCAAGGGGTCTAAAAACTTTCCGAATGCACTGTATATAAAAAATAACCGTGGGCTGGAATGAAAAGAAGAGAAATTAGATTGTATAGCTAGCTCACCTCACTCGTTGGATTTTACAATTGGAATCCCTGATGTTTCAGTAGAATACATAAGAGGTTATGGAAAACAGGTGTTTCTCCCACAATAGCCTACTACTGTACTCCCCTCTCATATCACATCTCCTATGCCAGCCCAGACCAGTCCCAGTGCCTGGAGCATTTGCTGCCCCCAGGGCCAGTTGAGGTGCTAAACTGTTACCAGAGCATTTGAAAGAGCTGGAAAGTAGCAGGCCCAGCAGAACAGGAGCAGGCAGACATACCACCACATACAGCAGTCATTACTCTAAATCACTGACCCCCCCTCCTCTCCCAAGCTCCGTCCCCCTCATGACCTCAGCTAGAGACCAATGACCTGGAAAATGTTGAGTAGAGCTCTTCTCTCCCTCCCATGCAAACAGCAGAAATATTGAGACAATTACCAGATGATTATCTGGTCACGACATCAGCCACGGCGGCTGGTTGGGAAACACTCTGGGAGTGGATGAGTGGATGTACTGGAATAGAAAAATGACTCAAAGGCTTCTACATGTGGACTGGGATGGCTCTCAGTGCCCATTCCACTAGCCTTTTGGCCACCATACCTCCAATGACAGACATGTACAGATGTAGGATCTTAAAATGACCTGTATTGTCGCAGCAAAAAATTATCCTATAGGATTTGAAAGTTTAGTCTATAATGTTGTGTGATTGCTGGTTTGGCTATTAGCTGGTCAAAATGAGGCTACATGAAAAGTGGAGTACTGATAATATAACCGTGTGTTAGTGCAGGTTTTCAGTGAGTGATCAAATTAAGATCCTACATCTGTAGAAGTAAATGAGGGACCCCCCTTCTTTGTAGGTCACCAGACACACATTATTTGGGCCAGACATTAGACCCAGTCCATCTCCAGACCCAGTCTAACCCCAGACCCAGTCCAACCCCAGCCCCAGTCCAACCCAAGCCCCAGCCCCAGTCCAACCCAAGCCCCAGCCCCAGCCCCAGCCCCAGTCCAATTCCAGCCCCAGTCCAATTCCAGACCCAGTCCAACCCCAGACCCAGTCTAACCCCAGACCCAGTCCAACCCCAGCCCCAGTCCAACCCAAGCCCCAGCCCCAGTCCAACTCCAGACCCAGTCTAACCCCAGACCCAGTCCAACCCCAGCCCCAGTCCAACCCCAGCCCCAGCCCCAGTCTGATTGATCTGGAGGAAAGCAGGAGGGATTTGCTCACTTGCTAGTTGTGTTTAGTTTGTTATATATTTGTTTCCATTCATCATTTGTGCTATACCTCAATATGTACTCTATGTACCCTGAAAATGGTATGTAGTGGAAAAAAGGAGGAGGAGCGAGGGGGGAGGAGGAGGAGGAGGAGGAGGGAGGGAGGAAGGGATGGAGGAAGAGGAGGAGGGAGGAAGGGATGGAGGAGGAGGAGGAGGAGGAGGGAGGAAGGGATGGAGGAGGAGGAGGAGGAGGAGGAGGAGGAGGAGTGGGTAGTAGTACTGTATGTATTTGTATTAATTAGGGATCCCCCATCATACAGTACCACTACCTAACCCTAACCCACTCCTCCTCTTTTTCTCTACTACACATATACAGGCTGCATGGGTTTGGTAAGCAAAGTTGCATGGATGGAGGGAGGGGGAAACGAAAGCTGTGATTCATCAGACTCCTTGTGCCAAAGTGCTCTTTTTATAGACAACCTTACAAAGGACTCATTGAGGGACTCATCTCCTCTAGCATTACCTTGTCCTTCAAAATGTGTTCAAACAGGGAATAGAGTACCCCCAATGAGTTTTTACAGGCTACATTGCCTAGTTAGTAGAACCATATGAGGGTATTCTCTCAGAGTACAGTTTATGCCAGTTAATGTTCTGTTGCACTTTCTCCATAAAAACAATATTGGCTATTTGTTTGCGCTCTCATAAATTTCCCTCTCAACCTGTCATTTTCATTTTCTAATTATGGGGCGACACCATAAATCGTCAAATCGTTTTACACTTTCCGCCATATCTATAAGTTCGTTTTAGCGTTAACATTTTAATATAGAAATGTCTTAGACTTACATACTGTATTTCTTTATTCCACTCTGCTCTGTAGTCACGTTGTTTCACGAGTTGAAGCCTGCTGCCTGTATTTCATGCATCAGTGTGTATGGGGAGTCGTATTTTAGCAACGCAAAGAACACATCAAAGCTGCTCCATGGAGCTGCAGTAAATCTCAGGCACTTGGAAGGTACCTCGTTCGTTACATCATCTACGCTGCCAATAAAGTTTAATTAGATAGAACTGCATGCGGTTCCTGTTGGAATGGAAATAAATACTCTTGTGTAGTCCACATGAACCAAAGCCACTCTCTTCTCTCTTCCCTGTATAGTCATCCCAGACCTGTGAATGGATCTATCATGGATCAACTTCCAGCTCTCTCCCCACTCTCGCCATAGTCTTTACTCCTTGGGAAGACATTTAGAGATGATTTTCTTTCTTTAGCATTGCAGATTTTATTTAAACTACAAATCCTCCATACGCTGAAATATCCATGGGAGCCAAATATCTGGAAAATTATGCTTTGTAGAAGAAAACCATGGTTATGTTTATTATCATGTTACTATAATGGTTATGGTTATTATTATGTTTATTATTATATTACCATAATGGTTATGGTTATTATAATGTGTATTATTATATTACTATTATGTTATGTTATTATTATGTTTATTATTCTATATATATTATGGTTATGGCTAACGGGTGTCCATTTGACATTACCATATTCCTGAGGGGACCTGATACTATCCTGATACTGTTCCGATACTATCCTGATACTATCCTGATACTATCCGGATACTATACTGATACTGTTCCGATACTATCCTGATACTATCCGGATACTATCCTGATACTGTTCTGATACTATCCTGATACTATTCTGATACTGTTCTGATACTCTCCTGATACTGGATGTGTCCAAGATGGCGTAGTAGTGCAGTCCTGTTTTTGTCGTGTGTCTGTAAATAGCCTGTAAATACCCTGTTTTTTTTGTATTTTTCGTACATATTTCCCTATCAGACTTTTCATCCTTCTACAAAATATACTTTCCTGCAACCCGCCTCACTCAATGTGGAACGGATTATATTATTGACTTACCTTTTATCTAGAATCTCCAGTTGAAACTAGCTAGCCAGCTAACTAGCTACTTGCTATTAGCCACAGTTAGCGGTATTTCACCCAGAACATTGGATTTTCTGCGGGAATAATTTAATCACTGGACATTAATCACCGGATCGCAACTAGCTAGCCGCAACCGAATGGATGTTGCTGTCTGGCTAATTCACCACTGCCCCCGATGCAAGCACCAGTTAGCCTCGAGCTAGCCTAGAGCCAGGCTCATATCTACCTCTAGGTCTACCGGACGGGAGTAGCCAGCTAACTAGCTACTTGCTATCAGCTACCGTTAGCGTTTTTTTCACCATTGTCCGTGGCCTGCACCACCCACCAGCCAGCTCTAGTCTGGACTATTATTCGGCCAGTCTGCACTGTCTGCACAGCGCGTTATCGACCCAGAACATATCAGTTCTTCTGCCGGAATCACTGAATCACTGGACCTTTAACTCCGGATTCATCGCTACCAGCTAGCTGCAACAAAATGGACGTTGTGGTCTGGCTAATCATCCTGAGCTAGGCCCATCTCCCGGCTATCTACCTCTACGTCAAACGGACGGGACCACCTAGTGTTGACACGGAGCCCCGCCGATCCTACACGACTGGTCTGCCGACGAAATCGTCTGATGTGATTACAACAGGCTTCCCGTTACCACGTCGACCACGAAGATTCCATCTGCTAGCCCCGGCCCGCTAGCACACGCTAGTGCTTTAGCAGCCCCCGAACTATCCTATTGCTGTTCACCGGACCTTATGATAACTCAGCTATACAGCTGATGCCTGCTGGACTGTTCCTTTTTACGGTACCGCATCCTGTTTATGTTTAGCCTCAGCCCAAACTGTGTCGTCATTACCAGCTGTTGTCTTAGCTCTCTCAAATTACACCGTGATTGCTTTATGCCTCTCTCCCATCTCAATATGGTTAGCTTATTGTTGTTTCGGTTATTTCTAATTGTACTATTTCACTGTAGATCCCCCAGCCCAGCTAAACCTGCCTTAGATAGCTCCTTTGTCCCACCCCCCATACACGCGGAGACCGACTCAATTGGTGCCTCCAGTGATGCTATCTCTTTCATTGTTACCCAACGCTTAGGTTTACCTCCACTTTACTCATATCCTTCCATATCGTTGTCTGTACATAATGCCCTGAATCTTTTCTACAACGCCCGGAAATCTGCCCCCTTCATTCTATGTACCCAACGCACTAGAAGACCAGTTCTTAAAGCCTTTAGCCGTATCCTTATTCTAGTCCTCCTCTGTTCCTCCGGTGATGTAGAGGCTAACCCAGGCCCTGCAGCCCTCAGTATCACTTCTACTCCCCAGGCGCTATCATTTGCTGACTTCTGTAATCGCAAAAGCCTTGGTTTCCTGCATGTAAATATCAGAAGTCTACTTCCTAAGTTTGAGTTATTCACTGCGTTAGCACACTCCGCCAACCCTGATGTTCTAGCAGTGTCTGAATCCTGGCTTAGGAAGGCCACCAAAAATTCTGAAATTTCCATCCCCAACTATAACATTTTCCGTCTAGATAGAACTGCCAAAGGGGGTGGAGTTGCAATCTACTGTAGAGATAGCCTGCAGAGCTCTATCATACTATCCAGGTCTGTGCCCAAACAGTTTGAGCTTCTACTTCTAAAAATCCACCTTTCCAGAAATAAGTCTCTCACTGTTGCTGCTTGCTACAGACCCCCCTCAGCCCCCAGCTGTGCCCTGGACACCATATGTGAATTGATTGCCCCCCATTTATCCTCAGAGTTCGTACTGCTTGGTGACCTAAATTGGGATATGCTTAATACCCCGGCCATCCTACAATCCAAACTAGATGCCCTCAATCTCACGCAAATTATCAACGAACCTACCAGGTACAACCCTAAATCCGTAACCATGGGTACCCTCATAGATATCATCCTGATTAACTTACCCTCTAAATACACCTCCGCTGTCTTCAACCAGGATCTCACCGATCACTGCCTTATTGCCTGCGTCCGTAACGGGTCCACGGTCAAACGACCACCCCTCATCACTGTCAAACGCTCCCTAAAACACTTTAGCGAGCAGGCCTTCCTAATTGACCTGGCCCAGGTATCCTGGATGGATATAGATCTCATTCTGTCAGTAGAGGATGCCTGGTTGTTCTTTAAAAGTAATTTCCTCTCAATCTTAAATAAACATGCCCCATTCAAAAAATACAGAACTAAGAACAGATATAGCCCCTGGTTCTCCTCAGACTTGACTGCCCTTGACCAGCACAAAAACATCCTGTGGCGTACTGCATTAGCATCAAATAGCCCCCGCGATATGCAACTTTTCAGGGAAGTTAGGAACCAATATACACAAGCAGTCAGGAAAGCAAAGACTAACTTTTTCAAACAGAAATTTGCATCCTGTAGCACTAACTCCAAAAAGTTTTGGGACACTGTAAAGTCCATGGAGAATAAGAGCACTTCCTCCCAGCTGCCCACTGCACTGAGGCTAGGAAACACTATCACCACCGATAAATCTACAATAATCGAGAATTTCAACAAGCATTTTGCTACGGCTGGCCATGCTTTCCACCTGGCTACCACTACCCCGGCCACCAACTCTGCACCCTCCGCTGCAACTTGCCCATGCCCCCCCCCCCCCCGCTTCTCCTTCACACAAATTCAGACAGCTGATGTTCTGAAAGAGCTGCAAAATATGGACCCCTACAAATCAGCTGGGCTAGACAATCTGGACCCTTTCTTTCTAAAACTAGCCGCCGAAATTGTCGCAACCCCTATTACTAGCCTGTTCAACCTCTCTTTCGTAACGTCTGAGATCCCCAGAGATTGGAAAGCTGCCGCGGTCATCCCCCTCTTCAAAGGGGGTGACACTCTAGATCCAAACTGTTACAGACCTATATCCATCCTGCCCTGCCTTTCGAAAGTATTTGAAAGCCAAGTTAACAAACAGATCACCGACCATTTCGAATCCCACCGTACCTTCTCCGCTATGCAATCCGGTTTCCGAGCTGGTCATGGGGTGCACTTCAGCCACGCTCAAGGTCCTAAACGATATTATAACCGCGATCGATAATAGACAGTACTGTGCAGCCGTCTTCATCGACCTGGCCAAGGCTTTCGACTCTGTCAACCACCGCATTCTTATTGGCAGACTAAATAGCCTTGGTTTCTCAAATGACTGCCTCGCCTGGTTCACCAACTACTTCTCAGATAGAGTTCAGTGTGTCAAATCGGAGGGCCTGTTGTCTGGACCTATGGCAGTCTCTATGGGGGTGCCACAGGGTTCAATTCTTGGGCCGACTCTTTTCTCCGTGTATATCAATGATGTCGCTCTTGCTGCTGGTGACTCTCAGATCCACCTCTACGCAGACGACACCATTTTGTATACATCTGGCCCTTCATTGGACACTGTGTTAACAAACCTCCAAACGAGCTTCAATGCCATACAACACTCCTTCAGTAGCCTCCAACTGCTCTTAAACACTAGTAAAACTAAATGCATGCTCTTCAATCGAACGCTGCTGGCACCCGCCCACCCGACTAGAATCACCACTCTCGACGGGTCTGACCTAGAGTATGTGGACAACTACAAATACCTAGGTGTCTGGTTAGACTGTAAACTCTCCTTCCAGACTCACATTAAGAATCTCCAATCCAAAGTTAAATCTAGAATCGGCTTCCTATTTCGCAACAAAGCCTCCTTCACTCATGCTGCCAAACATGCCCTCGTAAAACTGACTATCCTACCGATCCTTGACTTCGGCGATGTCATTTACAAAATAGCCTCCAACACTCTACTCAGCAAACTGGATGTAGTCTATCACAGTGCCATCCGTTTTGTCTCCAAAGCCCCATACACTACCCACCACTGTGACCTGTACGCTCTTGTTGGCTGGTCCTCACTACATGTTCGTCGCCAAACCCACTGGCTCCAGGCCATCTATAAATCACTGCTAGGCAAATCCCCGCCTTATCTTAGCTCATTGGTCACCATAGCAGCACCCACCCGTAGTCTGCGCTCCAGCAGGTATATCTCACTGGTCATTCCCAAAGCCAACACCTCCTTTGGCCGCCATTCCTTCCAGTTCTCTGCTGCCAATGACTGGAACGAATTGCAAAAATCTCTGAAGCTGGAGACTCTTATCTCCCTCACTAACTTTAAGCATCAGTTGTCAGAGCACCTTACCGATCACTGCACCTGTACACAGCCCATCTGAAATTAGCCCACCCAACTACCTCATCCCTATATTGTTATTTATTTTGCTCTTTTGCACCCCAGTATCTCTATTTGCACATAATCTCTTGCACATCTAGCATTCCAGTGTTAATACTAATTGTAAATATTTTGCACTATAGCCTATTTATTGCCTTACCTCCATAACTTGCTACATTTGCACACACTGTATATATATTTTCTGTTGTATTTTTTGACTTTATGTTTTTTACCCCATATGTAATTTTGTGTTGTTGTTTTTATCGCACTACTATGCTTTATCTTGGCCAGGTCGCAGTTGTAAATGAGAACTTGTTCTCAACTGGCTTACCTGGTTAAATAAAGGTGAAATAAAAAATTAAATAAAATACTATTCTGATACTGTTCTGATACTATCCTGATACTATCCTGATACTGTTCTGCTACTATCCTGATACTATTCTGATACTATCCTAATACTATTCTGATACTGTTCTGATACTGTTCTGATACTATCCTGATACTATTCTGATACTGTTCTGATACTATTCTGATACTGTTCTGATACTATCCTGATACTATTCTGATACTATTCTGATACTGTCCTGATACTATCCTGATACTATCCTGATACTGTTCTGATACTATTCTGATACTGTTCTGATACTATCCTGATACTATTCTGATACAATCCTGATACTATTCTGATACTCTTCTGATACTATCCTGATACTATTCTGATACTGTCCTGATACTATTCTGAAACTGTCCTGATACTATTCTGATACTATTCTGATACTGTTCTTACTGTAATCAGGTTGCATTAACCTCAATGGTTGCATTCCAAATGGCACCCTATTCCCTTTATAGTGCATTATGTACTACTTATGACCAGGGCCCATAGGGCTCAGGGTGCCATTTGGGACACAACCTATAGCTGATGCTTATGTTGAGGAGCTGGTGGATAACCTCAATGAACCACAGTCCCATTCCTGTACTCTGCACCTCCTATCCCCCTTTCCCAAAACTCCCAGGTTTTCCAGAGATCCAGATTGGAATATTACAGGAATCAGGAGGGAATAAGCAGGACATCTGAATTTCTCCAACCAGGATATCTGGAAAACCTTTTGTAACCCTACACTGCACATAGGAAAGCAGACAAGAGCAGACCATAAACCAGGGTGATAGCCCAGCCCGTGGACGTGATGGGGCAAAGATAATTCCAGGCAGAAACATCGATATTGAAACAAACAATTCAAAAAATCAACTTGCAATAGAGCATGCAATAGAGCATGCTGGGAAATATGATAATGATATGTATGGTTTTGGTTCAACGTGATGTGTATGAGTTTTAGGCCTCAGTATTAGGGTAAAACTAGGCCCTCAAAATAAGGCCTTATGACATACGTATGGTATTGTGTTAAATACAGTATATATATTTTTTACAATAACATATTTGCTTAGGATCTCACTTGGTGATGTCACGTATACTTCCTCTCCGGTGCTCGAGGTCGCCAGTCTGCTGATTATTACGCACACCTGTCACCATCGTTACGCGCACCTGCGCCTCATGAGACTCACTTGGACTCAATCACCTTCCTGATTACCTCCCCTATATATGTCACTCCCTTTGGTTCCTTCCCCAGGCGTTATTGATTCTGTTTCAGTGTTTCATGTCTGTAGGCTACTCGTGTTTCTTGTTTTGTTCTATGTATTATTTATTGTTAAATTCACTCCCTGTACTTGCTTCCCTACTCCCAGCATACACGTTACAGGTGAAGTCCATAAGACCGAAAATGAATGAATGTGTCACGTACAGTGGGGAAAAAAAGTATTTAGTCAGCCACCAATTGTGCAAGTTCTCCCACTTAAAAAGATGAGAGAGGCCTGTAATTTTCATCATAGGTACACGTCAACTATGACAGACAAATTGAGGAAGAAAAAACCAGAAAATCACATTGTAGGATTTTTAATGAATTTATTTGCAAATTATGGTGGAAAATAAGTATTTGGTCACCTACAAACAAGCAAGATTTCTGGCTCTCACAGACCTGTAACTTCTTCTTTAAGAGGCTCCTCTGTCCTCCACTCGTTACCTGTATTAATGGCACCTGTTTGTACTTGTTATCAGTATAAAAGACACCTGTCCACAACCTCAAACAGTCACACTCCAAACTCCACTATGGCCAAGACCAAAGAGCTGTCAAAGGACACCAGAAACAAAATTGTAGACCTGCACCAGGCTGGGAAGACTGAATCTGCAATAGGTAAGCAGCTTGGTTTGAAGAAATCAACTGTGGGAGCAATTATTAGGTAATGGAAGACATACAAGACCACTGATAATATCCCTCGATCTGGGGCTCCATGCAAGATCTCACCCCTTGGGGTCAAAATGATCACAAGAACGGTGAGCAAAAATCCCAGAACCACACGGGGGACCTAGTGAATGACCTGCAGAGAGCTGGGACCAAAGTAACAAAGCCTACCATCAGTAACACACTACGCCGCTAAGGACTCAAATCCTGCAGTACAAGACGTGTCCCCCTGCTTAAGCCAGTACATGTCCAGGCCCGTCTGAAGTTTGCTAGAGTGCATTTGGATGATCCAGAAGAGGATTGGGAGAATGTCATATGGTCAAATGAAACCAAAATATAACTTTTTGGTAAAAACTCAACTCGTCGTGTTTGGAGGACAAAGAATGCTGAGTTGCATCCAAAGAACACCATACGTACTGTGAAGCATGGGGGTGGAAACATCATGCTTTGGGGCTGTTTTTCTGCAAAGGGACCAGGACGACTGATCCGTGTAAAGGAAAGAATGAATGGGGCCATGTATCGTGAGATTTTTAGTGAAAACCTCCTTCCATCAGCAAGGGCATTGAAGATGAAACGTGGCTGGGTCTTTCAGCATGACAATGATCCCAAACACACCGCCCGGGCAACGAAGGAGTGGCTTCGTAAGAAGCATTTCAAGGTCCTGGAATGGCCTAGCCAGTCTCCAGATCTCAACCCCATAGAAAATCTTTGGAGGGAGTTGAAAGTCCGTGTTGCCCAGCGACAGCCCCAAAACATCACTGCTCTAGAGGAGATCTGCATGGAGGAATGGGCCAAAATACCAGCAACAGTGTGTGAAAACCTTGTGAAGACTTACAGAAAACGTTTGACCTGTGTCATTGCCAACAAAGGGTATATAACAAAGTATTGAGAAACTTTTTTTATTGACCAAATACTTATTTTCCACCATAATTTGCAAATAAATTCATTAAAAATCCTACAATGTGATTTTCTGGAAAATATTTTCTCATTTTGTCTGTCATAGTTGACGTGTACCTATGATGAAAATTACAGGCCTCTCTCATCTTTTTAAGTGGGAGAACTTGCACAATTGGTGGCTGACTAAATACATTTTTTTCCCCACTGTATAATGACAGGAAGACAGGCGCAGGAATACGTATTAGGGGTTTTATTTCTCCACCCAATACAAGGTACGTCATAAAAACTACGTGGACGATGCCCATAACAACCACAGGGCTGTAACCCAAAAAAAAGAGCGATGTGTAAACCTCTAAATACATACACAGGACGAGACCCTTAATACCAAGAGCACAATACACAGTACTCACGAGACCAATGGACATGGGACAATAATTGACAAGGACAATGGGGAACAGAGGGCACATATATACACATACTAATCAAGGGGAATGGGAACCAGGTGTGCGTAATGAGACAAGACAGTCCGCGGTTGGTGGTAATGAACCAGGTCAGTGACGCCTGGAAGGCCTGAGACATAGACCGACGAAGCTGGTGAATGGAATGAGCAGCAGTACCGGGAGGATCCGTGACAGAATGCAACAACCATGTCTCTGTCACTAACAAGTACAGTCATGGGCGGTAACTCTTACGATTCACTCGAACGGCAAAGCACTCTGGGAAATTTTTAATAAGGCTGTGTGTTAATTTAACACTGTTCAGGTGTCTATATGGGTCCACAGACTCTACACTATCAGTGTTAATTTAACACTCTCAGTATATATATATATATATATATATATATATATATATATATATATATATATATATATTTATATATTTTTTTTTAAAATGGAGAACCAGCTGTGTGTAAGTGTGCTGCCTCACACTGACTCTGAGAGGATTGGGGTCAGGTGTCGGTCAATGTTGGGGGTGCAAGGTGAATGTCAGAACACAGGAGAGCCTGCCCCCATCAACCACCCCTGCCCCCATCAACCACCTCCTGCTTGTGTTGGCTTACTTCCTGCCTCTCTATCTGGCACCACCGCAGCCCTGACATTGTGACATGAGGCTGCCAGGTTAGAGTCACTCAGGATGCTCAGTATCTGCGCCCTGAAGGGCAGGAGAGGCACCATAAACCATGGAGGGACACAACAAGGCTTCAAGGTGAAAGTTCTCTGTGTATGACAGTTCAGTATGGTAGTTGGTGGCATCTTAATTGGGGAGGACGGGTCTCATATACATCAAACACATGGTTTCCATGTTATTGATGCCCTTCCACTCGCTCCGTTCCAGCCATTATTATGAGCCGTCCTCCCCTCAGCAGCCTCCTGTGGTGAATAAATCTTGGCAAAACGTGAAAGATTTTTAACACATTTAGGTGTCATAGTGGAACCAAAAAGTCACTGCCCAAATCAAATTTGGTCGTTTTTTTTGGTTGAAACCAAATCCTCTGTATTCAGACTGGATATTGACATCTATACAAATATCTTAACTTTCCCAGTATCAGTGCAAGAGGAAAATCTTGGAGAGAAGCGTAAGGGCGCAGTGAAGTCATCCAGTACACTGTCTGACAGCTGGCATCTCTCAGAAGCACTCTCACTCTGAGAAACACATCTCTCTAGTGGCATCTCAGATGCCTCGTCTCCTTCAGCTGCATGGAGGTTAAACGGAGCATGATTGTTTACCTGCCTGTTTGTGAGGCAGAAGAACAGTGCTGCCCATCACATTAGGAAAGTAACAAGTTTGGTGGCGGAGGACGGCTGTGTGGAGCCGAGGCCTATCTGCTTTATAAAGGGAGTAGGCCTAACACCCCTCCTCTCCTCCTCTCCTCCTCTCATCCTCTCCTCCTCTCATCCTTCCATCCTCCTTATTTTGACCAGCCATGGGACCTGACAGAGGCTGAGCCCGCCTCCTACCCCTAGCACAGCTCAGTCACATTTTACATTACATTACATTTTAGTCATTTAGCAGATGCTCTTATCCAGAGCGACTTACAGAAGCAATTAGGGTTAAGTGCCTTGCTCAAGGGCACATCGACTGATTTTTCACCTAGTCGGCTCGGGGATTAGAACCAGCGACCTTTCGGTTACTGGCACAACGCTCTTAACCACTAAGCTACCTGCCGCAGTTAACTGCATCTGCCATGGGAGCAGCGCAGGCAGGCCACTTTGTCAGCACACACACACACACACACACACACACACACACACACACACACACACACACACACACACACACACACACACACACACACACACACACACACACACACACACACACACACACACACACACACACACACACACACACACACACACACACACACACACACACACAAACACCCTGGGCTTTAAGCAGAGCCGCACCAGCAGAGAGATAGAGAGAGCTAGGATGAATAATTGAAGTGTGCATTCTGTACTTTAAATAATTTTAAAGCTGTATTCTGCAGAGGCTCTAAATGGCTGGGAGAAGGAGACATTAATGATTCATGGGCTGCTTTTATCTGCTTTGGTTCAGGTCACTGTCCTGAAGGCGCTCGGGGCAGCGGAGGAGAGGCGAGGGGGGAGAGGGGAGGGGGAGACAGAGAAGAAAGTCAGGAAAGGTGGTGTGTCTTGGCCAAATAGATTGTGTGAAAAACGGGCCCACACAGATTAGGAAATATTGCCAAAGAAAACGTTAAAGCAAATATTATGTCTGAGCTGCCTTCCCAGTTGAACTTTTTTGCTGTAAGTATTTGAGGTGGGATTTATGGGTATTCTTTCATCACTGGGATTTAATTTCCCAGCCTGTGTCCCAAATGGCACCCTGTTCCCTACATAGTGCACTAGTTTTGACCAGAGCCCTATGGGCCACGGTCTAAAGTAGTGCACTATATAGGGAATAGGATGTCATTGTGGAGACAGCCCTTGAGTCCAACAGGACCACTGTTGCTGTGACTACTATGTCTCTGCTATGGTCTGTTCACTCATCTGCAGCTGTTTAGAAGGCGCCCTGAAACATAAGGTTTCTCTTTTCCAAATCAAGTGTCCGATAAATGTGATATTAAAGGTGAAGAAAAAAAATCAATAATCACAATATTATGCGGTCTGATACTAACACTTTTAATTTTTCAATATCTACTGAATAACAAACAGGGAATATGTCCAGGCTGCAATTAATCAAATTGTGGTTCTAAAATACTCTATTTGATGACGTTCCAGATTCAGATTCAGATAAGCTTTATAAACATGTTGTTCCACTGTTGCTTGTCACGAATGAAGGATGCATTTTTTTCTGCTGAGGAAAGTTTGTTAACGCTGTTGTTTTTTACTAGCGATACAGTACATTCAGAGCTGGCTCCAAGCATAAGAGACAAAAGCTTTTTGGAGAACTCAGTCGGGTCTCAATGTACTTTTGAGAGTAAGAATAGTAGAATACGTCAGGTGCAATTTAGAAATGTGGTTGTACATAATTCGGCAGGTTTTCTCTTGTTATGTCAGTCACTGACAGTCACTCAATTAAACATGTCAGCTAACAATTTTTAGATTGATAGTTAGTCTAGCCAGGTATCTAAATTTGTAGTAATCTTGGCCAAATACTGACCGGGCACGTGCCCAGGGCCCTGACCTCCACAGGGCCCCCATTGATTTTGTTAGTCATTCTCACTCAGATGTTAGATTAACATGGTTTAAGTCATGGCTAAATGTGTAGAAGTGCAGGAAATTAGCTTTAAAACTGCAAAGATTTATCTCCACCCCATGGCAAAATGGATAGAATAGGAGGAAATTAGCTGTAAAACTGCTACAATTTCTCTCCGCTCAATGGCAAAATGTGTAGAATTAAAGGAAATTAATTTTTAAAAGTTGTTTTCTCTCCGCCGTCAACTGTCAATACTCTCCCACACACTACACAACTGTCAATACTCTCCCACACACTACACAACTGTCAATACTCTCCCACACACTACACAACTGTCAATACTCTCCCACAAACTACACAACTGTCAATACTCTCAGACGCACTACACAATTATCAATGCTTTCTGACGCACTACACAACTATCAATACTCTCAGAGAAGTGGTTAAGTGTAGATGTGATGATGTACATTTGGCCCCTGCTTTTCTGGCTGGTAATCAAGCTTGCCGACACTGTAGCCACATGATAAAGAAAATGTGTTAGATGTGTTTTGTTTTGTGTTTTCTCAGTCTCACATGTCTGTTGTATTTCGAGCTGTTCTTGTCAAAGTTTATACATATGTCTGACGGTCAGTCAAGAATTGTCTTCTCAATGTATCCCTCTCCTCTCTTCAGGGAGCTGATGCCCAAGACCCTGGAGGGCCAGATCACCATGGAGAAGACCCCCAGCTACTTCGTGACCAGAGAGGCCCCGGCCCGGATCTCCGCCATGTCCCGGGACACCAAGCTGATCGTGGTGGTGAGGGACCCCGTCACCAGGGCCATCTCTGACTACACACAGACGTTGTCCAAGAAGCCCAACATTCCCACCTTCGAGAGCCTGACCTTCAGAAACAGGACTACGGGGCTAATCGACACGTCCTGGAGCGCCATCCAGATTGGCATCTATGCCAAGCACCTGGACAACTGGCTGCAGTACTTCCCCATGAGCCAGATCCTGTTTGTGAGCGGTGAGCGTCTGATCAGCGACCCAGCCGGAGAGCTGGGCCGGGTCCAGGACTTCCTGGGGCTCAAGAGGATCATCACAGACAAACACTTCTACTTCAACCAGACCAAGGGCTTCCCCTGCCTCAAGAAAGCTGAGGGCAGCAGCAAGCCCCACTGCCTGGGAAAAACCAAAGGGCGGACCCACCCCAACATCCACCCAGAGGTGGTGCAGAGGCTACAGGACTTCTACAGGCCTTTCAACATGAAGTTCTATCAGATGACAGGACAGATATTTGGTTGGGACCATTGACTGTGCCTCAAATACTGTACATTTGGCAGATTTACATTTTAGTCATTTAGCAGACACTTGTTTCTAGAGCAACTTACAGGAGCAATTAGGGTTAGGTGTCTCGCTCAACAGATTGTCTACCAAGTCGGCTCGGGGATTCAAACCAGCAAGCTTTCAGTTACTGGTCCAACACTCTTAACCGCTAGGCTACCTTCCACCCCCCGAATACAGATGTCGAGAGAACACAGATCACTGTTGACACTGCAGTATTACTGTGGGACAGCAACAACACTAAGCCTAGAGGCAATATGTGTCTGTGAGAGTGGGGAAAAAAACCTTATCTGCTCTTACTGGCATGCCAGATATGCAATGTGTTCACTGTGTTACGTATTCCTTTATCAGAACTGCCTCAGAACCAATATCAGCTGGGGCTGGTTGAAGGAAATTGAGCTGGATTATTCCTTATAGAGCATGTGGTGGTTCTAACACAGAGAGATACTGCATCTCCTCCTCTCCCAGTAGTTACTGTAAGAGGGAACCTTCCAGTGCTGCAAAATACAAATATGTTGTTTCTGTACAGGAAGTTATATGAAATCACACAGAAAAGACTTTGGATAAAAAGCCTTGTCTGAGTGATTCTATATCATATTTGAAAGCAAACCTAGCTGCTTTTCAAAGCTTAGCATTTTTCTAGAAAAATATTGAAAAGATAAAAATACATTTAATTTATTTAAGATTATGTACACATGCAGTATATAATATACATCTTGATGTTCTCTGTGCCTCTAGAATGTTGTTTTATACTGTACAACATAGTTTTTCTTCATCATGTTTATCAAGGTAATTAATTTGAATGTGTAAATGCAGTTCCCACACTCTTTTCCTGCTGAGTTTGTAATTTAAATCCTGTGAGGGTTTGTTATTCCGAGGGTAGTTTCCCCACGTTCAGTTAATGGAGTTAATTGAATTACAGTGTGGAGAGCCAGAGAGAGCAAAGATAGCACTCAATGGAAGCGTCCAATGGCACCCTGTTCTTTACATAATGCACTACGTTTGACCAGAGCCCATAGGGAATAGGGTGCTATTTGGTATGCACAGTCAGTCAGCTGTTGTATCAGTAACAGCAACTCCTCAACTAATGTTATAATGAGACCTCTAGTGGGCCTAACCAAATGATTCCTCAAATTTCCTCTTTAACATGCCTCTTTGTGAACTGAATACAGTTGATGTTATCCGGCCTTTCCTTGTCTCAGAGGCATCCGTAGATGGAGGTGTCTCTCTCTGTGTCTTTTTAAAGGAGCCAAAGAACAATTGTGAAGTTGTATTTCTGATTTATAGTACCAGTCAAAGGTTTGGACACACCTACTCATTCAAGGTTTTTTCTTTATTTTTTACTATTTTCTACATTGTAGAATAATAGTGAAGACAAAGTGGTCCTCTGTAGCTCAGCTGGTAGACCACGGCGCTTGTAACGCCAAGGTATTGGGTTCAATCCCCGGGACCACCCATAGATCTTTTTTCCTCTTGGTTTGTAAGCTGGGAGGAGGTCGTCGGGTAAGCTTGGCGTCGGGTAAGTTTGGCTTTATACATAGCTTGGGCTTTGTCGAGTAAGGCTTAAACTATGTATTTAGATTGTAGTTAGGTATTGTAGGTAGGTATCGTGGGTTGTTGTAGGTAGTTATTGTATGTAATTATTGTAGGTTAGTATTGTATTCGGCGGTGCCGGGTGTAGCACGAAGCTAGCTAGCTAGCTAACTCACCACCTGGACTAGCTGGTGAGTAGCTATTAGCAACGGTATAGTTGTTTCACGCCTGAGAGTGCCTGTAATTACGCCAGCTGGCTGCCTACAATAATTACATACAATAACTGCCTACCATTCAGCTGTTTTCTAACCTCATTGTCTGAACCGTTAACGTTAGGTAGCAAGTGGCTACTGTGCTTGAAAATTAGCAAGCTTGTTGCAACCTGGATAGCTACTTGTAAACAATAGCTGGAACGACCGAGCGAACAGACGCGAACTGGCTGAGTCAATTCAGTGGCTAGCTTTGCACTTGGCTAGCTAACAGTAGCTGCTAGGGGTAAGTCATAACCTACACTGGTGTTTTGTTTTTTACATATTGATAGCCCGAGTCGCTCAAGGAATTCGGGACATGGGTGACTAGTTAACGTTAGTTTGGCTCTCTCTGTGTGTTCGTGCCGTGAAAGGAGGGGTTCTTCTTTGTCTGAAAGCAATGGCTAGCTAGTTTGCTAACTATTCTAGCTAACTAACTGGCTGAATAAGTTGACGACGGACTCGCTCAAGCTGTCGGGACTAACCCACAACGTTAGACACGGACACGAATGAACTGGTGGTTGTTGTGGCTGAGTATTGGCGCTAAACCCTGCTGTTGGAGACCGGCATGCTAGCTGGCTGTGGCGTCTTATGACGAGGTGCCAGGACGTTTTTCACGGAATAATACTGCACCTAGTTAGCTAGCTGAATAAACTAGGTTAGTCTATTCCTAGAAAACATTGAACCGCTGTAGTTTACAACAATTATAGAGGTGGAAGTTGGGAGAGTTATATTTGGGAGTTGTGGTGAGGGAGGCCCCGCTCTCTCCTTTCCCAGATGTTTAGTTCATTTTATTCCGATCTCCTCTGCATTATTGTAGCCATCTGCTGCAGCCTGTCAACTATGCCTCTGCCTATCCCTGTTCTCTCCTCTCCGCACAGGCTACACAAACGCCTCACACCGCGTGGCTGCTGCCTCTCTAACCTGGTGGTCCCTGCACGCACGACCCACGTGGAGTTCCAGGTCTCAGGCAGCCTCTGGAACTGCCGTTCTGCTGCCAACAAGGCAGACTTCATCCCAGCCTATGCTACCCTCCAGTCCCTCGACTTCTTGGCGCTGACGGAAACATGGATTACCACTGAAAACACTGCTATTCCTGCTGCTCTCTCCTCGTCTGACCATGTGTTCTCGCATACCCCGAGAGCATCTGGTCAGCGGGGTGGTGGCACAGGAATCCTCATCTCTCCCAAGTGGACATTCTCAATTTTTCCCCTGACCCATCTGTCTATCTCCTCATTTGAATTCCATGCTGTCACAGTCACTAGCCCATTTAAGCTTAATATCCTTGTCATCTATCGCCCTCCAGGTTCCCTTGGAGAGTTCATCAATGAGCTTGACGCCTTGATAAGTTCCTTTCCTGAGGATGGCTCACCCCTCACAGTTCTGGGGGATTTCAACCTCCCTACGTCTACATTTGACTCATTTCTCTCTGCCTCCTTCTTTCCACTCCTCTCCTCTTTTGACCTCACCCTCTCACCCTCTTTACTAGATGCTGTTCTTCTACTAATCTCACTGCAACTCCCCTCCAAGTCTCCGACCACTACTTTGTATCCTTTTCTCTCTCCCTCTCCTCCAACACTACTCACTCTGCCCCTACACAGATGGTAATGCGCCGTCGCAACCTTTCTGCATCCTTTGACTCTCTATGTCCCCTATCCTCCCGGCCGGCTCGGTCCTCCCCTCCAGCTCCGTGGCTTGATGACTCATTGCGGGCTCACAGAACAGAGGTCCGGGCAGCTGAGCGGAAATGGAAGAAAACTAGACTCCCTGCAGACCTGGCATCTTTTCACTCCCTCCTCTCTACATTTTCTTCATCTGTTTCTGCTGCTAAGGCCACTTTCTACCACTCTAAATTCCAAGCATCCGCCTCTAACCCTAGGAAGCTCTTTGCCACATTCTCCTCCCTGCTGAATCCCCCCCCCCCCCCCCCCCCTCCTCCCTCTCTGTGGATGACTTCGTCAACCATTTTGAAAAGAAGGTTGACGACATCCGATCCTCATTTGTTAAGTCAAATGACACTGCTGGTCCTGCTCACACTGCCCTACCCTATGATTTGACTTCTTTCTCTCCTCTCTCTCCAGATAAAATCTTGCGACTTGTGACGGCAGGCCGCCCAACAACCTGCCCGCTTGACCCTATCCCCTCCTCTCTTCTCCAGACCATCTCCGGTGACCTTCTCCCTTACCTCACCTCGCTGATCAACTCATCCTTGACCGCTGGCTATGTCCCTTCCGTCTTCAAGAGAGCGAGAGTTGCACCCCTTCTCAAAAAACCAACACTCGATCCCTCTGATGTCAACAACTACAGACCAGTATCCCTTCTTTCTTTTCTCTCCAAAACTATTGAGCGTGCCGTCTTTAGCCAACTGTCTTGCTATCTCTCTCAGAATGACCATCTTGATCCAAACCAGTCAGGTTTCAAGACTGGTCATTCAACTGAGACTGCTCTTCTCTGTGTCACAGAGGCTCTCCGCACTGCTAAAGCTAACTCTCTCTCCTCTGCTCTTGTCCTTCAAGACCTGTCTGCTGCCTTTGATACTGTGAACCATCAGATCCTCCTCTCCACCCTCTCCGAGCTGGGCATCTCCGGCGCAGCTCACTCTTGGATTGCGTCCTACCTGACCGGTCGCTCCTACCAAGTGGCGTGGCGAGAAGCTGTCTCCGCACCATGTGCTCTCACCACTGGTGTCCCCCAGGGCTCAGTTCTAGGCCCTCTCCTATTCTCGCTATACACCAAGTCACTTGGCTCTGTCATATCCTCACATGGCCTCTCCTATCATTGCTACGCTGATGACACACAACTAATCTTCTCCTTTCCCCCTTCAGATAACCAGGTGGCGAATCGCATCTCTGCATGTCTGGCAGACATATCAGTATGGATGACGGATCACCACCTCAAGCTGAACCTCGGCAAGACGGAGCTGCTCTTCCTCCCGGGGAAGGACTGCCCGTTCCATGATCTCGCCATCACGGTTGACAACTCCGTTGTGTCCTCCTCCCAGAGTGCGAAGAGCCTTGGCGTGACCCTGGACAACACCCTGTCGTTCTCCGCTAACATCAAGGTGGTGACCCGATCCTGTAGGTTCATGCTCTACAACATTCGGAGAGTACGACCCTGCCTTACACAGGAAGCGGCACAGGTCCT